GGCGCCTCGGGCGCTGGTCGTCATTGTTTGATGATGGGCTTTTCTGCCATCTTTTGAACACCTTTTGGGTGTTCCCGCCCCCCGGCCCCCGCCCCCGCGCCGGCTCCCCCTCCCTCCTGCCGCCCCTGCTGCCAGGGGGGGCAGTTTCCCCGGGGCGGGGCATTTTTCTGGAAGGTGCTATTTTTCTTCCAGAAAGTCCGTTGATACGGCTGCGCGAACAAGCCCCCCTCCCCCCTCCGGGGGGGGGGGGGGATGGGTGTCCCCCGACCGTGTCGTCTCTGAGCGGCGGAGGACATTGTGGGTGCGCACTCACGCGCGCACATTGGCGCTGCGCCCCCATTTGGTGCTGTGCCATGTTTGTCTGAGTCTCTCGTTGGCTCCTCCGCCAAGCGGCCGGCAACGCCCTGAGTGGTGCGGGGGTGGGCCACGCGCTGTCTGCGCCTCGGGGGCTGTGGATTGAGGGGCCCCCCCCCCCCCCCCGGGGGAGGGGGGCGGATTACTCGGATCCCCGCCTTTTCGCGAATCCTCCTCCGGTCTGTGTGGCAATGCGGCGGTACCGACGCACAGGACCTGTTGCTGGGGGCACTCCCGTCGCAGAGTCTGTGCCAGGGCGCTCTCACCCTCGGGGCCCGTCTAGCATGTTCGAGCTCAGTTGGGAGCCCTGCGCGCCAGCTGCGGTCCTCTTGTCTCGTGCCTGCCCCAGGGAGCCGGCGGCCGGGGGAGGAGCGGACCGGGCACGCCTTGCTGCGGGCTGCCCCATGGCTCTTGTCTGGTGGATTGTCGAGTGCGAGGCCGTGCCCCGGTGCCAGGAGAGCCTGCCGGCCTGCGTATCCCGCGCGCCCCGCGGCCGCGGCCGCGGCCGCCCTCCCGCCTCGACACTCATGCGCATCACGGAGGTTGTCGTCTCCCGGGGCGGGGCGGATGGTGTGAGGCGGGTGTCGACCGTGTGCCGGGGCGCCTTCCGCCCGGTCCCCTCCTCTCCCCTCCGAGCGAGAGGGAGGCTTGGGGGTGGCGGGCGGCCTGCCCGGCCGGTGGGCACCCTCCGCAGGGGTATATAAATAATCATAGTTTGCCACCCTCTGGGCAGGAGAATTCTTCATCCGAATTTGTCATTTGTGTTCTTCCCTGCTGACCTTTTCAGATACCCACCGTGCGTCTCCCTTCCTCCCCCCTTGCCTGCTCCTCCTTCCCTCCCCCCCCCTTGCCTGCTCCTCCTTCCCTTCCCCCTTGCCTGCTCCTCCTTCCCCCCTCCTTCCCCCCCTCCTTCCCCCCTCCCCCCACATCACCTCCTGCTGACCCCAATCCCCTCCCCTGTCCCTTCGGCACGCAGTCCACCATGTCCACCGAGACCTTTGCTTTCCAGGCTGAGATCAGCCAGCTGATGTCGCTGATCATCAACACTTTCTACTCCAACAAGGATGTCTTCCTGCGTGAGCTGATCTCCAACGCCTCTGATGCTCTGGACAAGATCCGCTACCAGTCGCTGACCGACCCGTCCAAGCTGGACAGCGGCAAGGACCTGGAGATCTCCATCATCCCCAACAAGGAGGCTCGCACCCTGACCATCCGTGATACCGGTATCGGTATGACCAAGGCCGACCTGGTCAACAACCTCGGTACCATTGCCAAGTCCGGCACCAAGTCCTTCATGGAGGCCCTCCAGCAGGGTGCCGATATCTCCATGATCGGTCAGTTCGGTGTGGGCTTCTACTCCGCCTACCTGGTCGCCGAGAAGGTCCAGGTCACCTCCAAGCACAACGATGATGAGCAGTACACTTGGGAGTCCTCGGCCGGTGGCTCTTTCACCATCACCCAGGACGAGACCCCCACCCTCAACCGTGGTACCGCCATCACCCTCTTCATGAAGGACGACCAGCTGGCCTACCTTGAGGATGCCAAGATCAAGGAGATCGTCAAGACCCACTCCGAGTTCATCAGCTACCCGATCAAGCTCCAGGTCACCCGCGAGGTTGAGAAGGAGGTCGAGGACGACGAGGAGGAGGAGGTTGTCAAGCCCGCCGACGAGGAGGACGCCCAGGATGTCGAGTCCGACGACGAGGAGTCTGCCTCCAAGAAGAAGACCATCACCGAGGTGGAGACTTCCTTCGAGGAGCTCAACAAGACCAAGCCCCTGTGGACTCGCAACCCGGAGGGCATCACCAACGAGGAGTACGCCGCCTTCTACAAGTCCATCTCCAACGACTGGGAGGATCACCTGGCCGTCAAGCACTTCTCCGTCGAGGGTCAGCTCGAGTTCCGTGCTATCCTCTTCGTTCCGGGCCGTGCTCCCTTCGACATGTTCGAGTCTCGCCGCAAGCGCAACAACATCAAGCTCTACGTGCGCCGTGTGTTCATCATGGACGACTGCGAGGAGCTCATGCCCGAGTGGCTGTCCTTCATCAAGGGTATCGTCGATTCCGAGGATCTGCCCCTGAACATTTCTCGTGAGACCCTGCAGCAGAACAAGATCCTCAAGGTCATCCGCAAGAATGTCGTCAAGAAGTGCGTCGAGCTCTTCCAGGAGATCGCCGAGGACAAGGAGCAGTACGCCAAGTTCTACGAGGCCTTCTCCAAGAACCTCAAGCTCGGTGTCCATGAGGACTCTCAGAACCGCGAGCGCCTGGCCCACCTCCTGCGCTACAAGTCCACCAAGTCCCTGGACGAGGCCACCTCCCTGGCCGACTACATCGAGCGCATGCCCGCCGAGCAGAAGGACATCTACTACATCACCGGCGAGTCTCAGGCCGCCGTCGAGAACTCTCCCTTCCTTGAGGCCCTCAAGAAGAAGAACCTCGAGGTCCTGTTCATGGTCGACCCGATTGATGAGTACGCCGTTCAGCAGCTCCGCGAGTTCGAGGGCAAGAACCTGGTGTCCGTCACCAAGGAGGGCCTCGAGCTGCCCACCACCGAGGAGGAGACCGCCCGCTTCGAGAAGGTCAAGGCCGACTTCGAGCCCCTGTGCAAGCACCTGAAGGACATTCTCGGCGACAAGGTCGAGAAGGTCGTCGTGTCCAACCACATGGTGTCCTCCCCCTGCTCCCTGATCACCGGTGCCTATGGCTGGTCTGCCAACTTCGAGCGCATCATGAAGGCCCAGGCTCTGCGTGACACTGGCATGTCCTCGTACATGTCTTCCAAGAAGACCCTCGAGCTGAACCCCGACCACAAGATCATCACCACCATCAAGGAGAAGTTCGAGGAGGATGCCGGCTCCAAGACCGTCCACGATCTGACCATGCTCCTGTTCGACACTGCCCTCCTGTCTTCTGGCTTCTCCCTGGAGGACCCGAACAAGTTCGCTTCCCGCATCCACCGCATGATCGCCCTGGGTCTGTCCCTGTCTGGCGACGACCACTCCGCCTCCGACATCGAGGACGGCCCGGCTTCCGATGATGATGCCCCCGAGCTCGAGTCCTCCACCATGGAGGAGGTCGACTAAGTGTGTGTGCGCATATGTCCTCTGCAGCGCGGGGCGCGCCTCTCCCCCTTTCTGTCCTCCTCCGGCTTCTCTCTCTCTCTCTCTCTCTTCCCATATCGGGGGGCGAGCGAGAGGCAGGGCAATATGGTGTGCGGAGAGAGAGATGCTGGCCGCCTCGCTGCGCGCGCTCCCCCCTCCCTCTTTTCTCCCCTCTCAGAGATCACTCTTCTCTCCTCGTCCTCTCCCTCTCTCAAGCGTGTGAGGGGAGGAGAGAAAAGGGCCTTCGGCGCAGCGTGTGCATGTGTGTGCATGCGCGCGCAAAGCGCAAAGCCTGCTTGATTATGCGGCGCTGTGCACCACGGCTCCCCTTGCCGCGCCGCCCCCCTTCAAATACACAAACACCTATAGAAGCGTGCTTTTTCTTTCTCTTCTCCCTCTTCGTTCCTTTCTCTTCCCCCTCTTCGTTCCTTTCTCTTCTCCCTCTTCGTTCCTTTCTCTTCTCCCTCTTCTTCCAACCGGTTGTGTGCGCACGCGGACGCGGGTGTCTGAAGCAGAGCTCTCCTGGTGGTGGACCTCCCTGTGCCGTGCTTTTTTCCTATGAAGTGCCTTTCATGCTCCTCATTCGGGATCGAGGCAGCAAAGGACCTGAGCAGAGGGGCTGTTTGAGACAGTCTGGCGGGTGGGCGGGGGGGGGGGGGGGGGCGGCGGGGGGGTCAAGAGAGCACGGAGAGACGACAGCGAAGATTCGGCCTCGAGATTCTCCTCCATTTTGGGCCCCCCCCGTCCGCCCCTCATTCAGGACGGTGGCCCTGCTCCTCAAGTGTCACGTTCTGCCATTTCAAACCCGCATTTTTGAGATCACCACAATTCACGTGCTCAAGGGACCACAGGCCCGGCCCGAATTATGCGCCCCTGCCGTTCATGGCGCGTGCCCCGACCGCGAAAGAGGGAAGCTCTCCCGGCAGGTGGCCTTCCCCCACACACACGAGTGTGTTGCTTTCTTGGCCTCTCATGGGGGTGTGGGTCTCGGAAAAAGGCGCGTGTGGCCAGCGGCCGCCGTTGCGGGCCCCCACGCCGCGAAGCCGAAGGGCAAGAGGGTGCAATACAAGCTCGAGTGGCGGGAAGGAAAATGCGCCTGCAGGTGCGGGTGTGGGGCAGGGCAACAGCATGGGCGTTCCCCAGGAGATTCCCTCGCCGCCGTGCCCACGCACCGCGAGGGCCCGACCCATTTCTCGGGGCCGGGCCTGGCCCACGGGGGGGGGGGGGGTGAGGCACAGCCTTTGGTGTGTCGACAACAGCGCCGGGCCCAGTGGAGGGAGGGCGGGGAGAGTTGGCCTCGACCATCCCCTGGGGACGATGGGGACGCTCCTTTGAAAACAATCCCCTGAGCCGGGATATCCCCTTCTGCAGCTGCCCCTGGCCCTGCGGTGCACACCTCGCATCCCCGTCGTAGAATGTGCAAGGACACGCTCTTTTTTGAGATAGGCGCCCGGGGGGGCGGCACATCTGCGAGAGAGAGAAAGAGAGACCCCTCCCGGTCGAAACAAGTGTTCCCCTGACCCGGTGTGAGCATGCCCGCCTGCCTACCCGCCTGCCCGCCCGCTCGCCCGCCCCCGGAGAGTGGCCCATGCTTCCCCGCGCGCGCGCGCGCGCCACGGAGGGCGAGAACGCGCTGGCGAGATCCGTGCGGCCCTTGGGACGGTCAGATTCGGGCGTCCCGCCCGGCCTCCCGTTCTCCCGCCCGGCCTCTCGTGGCGCGGGGAGCCGATCGTCCGGGAGATCGACATGCCAGATCGCCCCGCTTCTTTTTGCTTAGAAACGGTCTCAGGTGGGACCGCCGCCCGGTAGCACTCGCGGGCATTTCCCCCAGCAGAGCCGGGCTCACGCGGCGAGTAGGTGCAAGAAAGGGAAAGAGAGCCCGCGGGAACGCATCAGGAAAAAAAACAATAATAAAGGGATTCACCCCGGGAAGCCCTTTGCGCGTGTGTAGCTCCCCCCCCCCTCTTCCATCCCTCGGCCCCTTTTGGCCCCTTTTCCATTCTTCCACCCCCTCCCATTCCCCCCCCCCTCCTCCTTTTGGTGATTGATGCCACCGCTGTCAATCCCCGCCTCGATTCGCTTGTCGTCGTCGTCGTCTCCCCTCTCCCACTTTCTGCGCCCTCCCTCGCGCTCTTGATGTAGACCACTCGCCCCCCCCCGGCTTCGACCAACTCCACTCCGGGCGGTCTCTCTCCCCCCCTTTTTCCTCCCGCCTCCCGCCTCCCGCCTCCCGCCTCCCGCCTCCCCTACCCCTGTCCCAAATGTCCCTCACCGCATCTGAGATCGCCTCCGCCTGGGAGGGCCTCTTCCAAGGGTCACTCGCGCCGCTGGGTCCGCAGGTAGGCGGACATTTCACGGCCCCGGCTGTGACATCGACGAAGGCCTCCTCCAGCGTGGCCACGGCCAAGGTCACTTCCTCGGCCCTGGCAGGCAATCTCCTGTCACCGCCAGCCTCGCCACCAGCCTCGCCACCGCCTCCCCCGCCGATTGAGGGCGGCAAGCTGCCGGTGCTCGAGTGCGGCCCCCTCATCTTTAAGCCTCTGATCGCCGACACCCGTGCCCACCGGGAGAGACGCTTTTACCAGGTTCTCTTCCCCGACGTGCCGGACTTTTCCCCGAATGCCGGGGCCATCAGCCCGGGGAATAAGCCCCCCACCAATCGCATCGACGCGCTTTCCCACCTGCGGCCCTTCATCCCCCGGTACTTCGGGTCTGGCCGCGCCAATGGGATTGGTACTGTCACCCCCCTCCTCCCTCCTCCCCCACTCGTTCCCTGGTCATTGCCCCCCCCCCCCCCGCCTTTCGATACTCCCTACAAGCCTGTTGTCGTCGGACTCCTTACTCCCCTCCCCCCCCCTCCTCCCCCTTCATCCGGGAGTAGATTACATCTGTCTCGAAAATCTGGCCTTCTCAGCCACGCGGCCGGCCGTGGTTGACCTGAAGGTGGGGCGGATCGCCTGCTCCCCGAACGCCTCGACCAAGCGCAAGCAAAAGGAACTGGAAAAGTACATCTGGCAAGAGCTCATTGGCTTCCGTGTCACCGGTATGAAGGTATGTCTTCCCCCTTTTGCCTCTCGCCTGCCGCGCCCTTCTGGCCCTCCCTTGCCGGGGCTGGTCACGGTTCTCATGCCCATCTCCTTCTTCATCCTCCCGCGATCGCCAGTCCTACTCCTCGAGTGGGGAAATACTTGATGCCGATCGCATGTACGGGCGGACTCTGGGCCCGGATTCCGTGAGCCTGGCCTTTCGGCATTTCTTCCGCCTGGAAGAGCTGTATGTGGAGTTGGCACAGAGCGGCCATGCTGAACTCCTGCAATCCAAGCCTGGCTCCCCTCTACACCAAGCCCTTGCTCGCGAGCTTGCTGCCCGGTGGCGTGGAACTCCCGGCCATGCAGTCGGCCTGCCGCCTGCCTATCCCATCCCTTCAGACGTCTTCAGCGCCACTGGCTCCGGCCGAGGCCCGTCCGTCCTATCATGGAGTTCTGGCCTGCCTTTCTGTTCTCCACCAGCCCGAGGTCCGATCGAGGGTCCTGTGACATCCAAGCGCCGGACATCTGAAACCCTGGTTGCACGCCTGCTCGGGCGGCTGTTGCTCCTGCGCACAGCGCACTGGCAATTGTCCAACCTCGAGCGGGCTCTTCGCCTGCAGGGAGCCTTCCACATCTACAGCAGCTCGGTCTTGATCATCTATGACGATGCCTTCCTGGACCAGGAGCTCCCCTCCACCCGACCGGACGATTTGAGCATCTTCCCTCCGGTTGGACTTCCCCCTTCGGCAGCGACCATGGCAGGAGAACAGCTACCGCTGCCCGAGCAAATGCCCGCATGGGCTCAACATTGTCCAGTTACTGTGCGGCTGATTGACTTTGCCCACGCCCTGGATGCCACCCCGGCCGGCTCACCCGACCAAAGCACTCTCTATGGTGTTGGTTCGATCATGTCCTGTGTGGAGCAACTCATCGCCGAGGTGGAGATCTTGCTGGACCACTTGATGCACCTGTAGAGGCAAAGGTGGTCCTCTTCTTGTCTTCGCCCCCCCCCCCCCCTCCCCCCCTGAATAGACCACTTTCCCCTATCTCTCTCTCTCTCCCCCCCCTCGCCTCCCTTCTCGATGTCTTTTGTGAGAGAGTGTCACCGGCTACTCGCACGAGGAATCTATTGCATGTGGGCGCACATGTCGCTTTCCAGGGGGGGGGGGGGGGGGAATATTTGCATGAAAGCTTGCCCATGCACATCCATACAATGTGCAGCGTCTCTTCAATGACAAGGGGACCTTTAGAACTGGGTTTTGAGCCAGCGATGCTTGGCCAGCTTCAGCAGGAGCGGCACGCTCGGATGCTTGGCCGATGGGATGACTGATGCCCGATCACAGAAGGGATCAAACTGCACAGCCGGCAGGGCCAGCGTGTCCAGATAGTGCTGCAGGGGAATGGCCACGCCGGCCAAAACCGCCACCGAATCACTGGGCAGATGAGCCCCCGGCAGAAGGCCAAACATGCGCCGGCCGAAGGTCTTTCCGGCGGAGGGGTTTCCAGCGGCCGCAGCATTGGAGGAACCATAGACCATGGTCCGAGCGGTGATTAGATGATCATTGGCGCGTGTGGCCAACTCGAAGACCGCGTCACACAGCTCCGTCGGGGTTTTGGCCCCGGGGGCCAATCGCAGGATGGCCTCCTCGCGAAGATTGTGCTACGCAGGGTCAAACGGGACGGGGCAGAAAGCGGCAGGGGTGGTGAGCATGCAGGCAATACAAGCAAGTACATCCAAAACCAGGACAGGGTGGAAAGGAGGGGCAACGGAAGGTGTGCATGTGCACGAGGGAGAGAGAGAGAGAGGGGGGGGGAGAGGTGATTCGGAGGAGGGGAGACGGGAGAGGAGGGCACCTTCATGACCAGATCCACCGGCAGCAAAAGCCGGCCCTGAGCCTTGTCGATTCTCATGGCCCGAATGACATTGACAATGGCGGCCGCCTGGCCGACATGGGAGGCCGCATGCTCGGCCAGAGAGCCAGTCTCCTCGGTGCCACCAGCCCCCAGGCCAGCCGCCTGCAGACAGAGGCTAAGTACTGTGCCGGAGGTGTTTTCACCAAAGCGCTCCAGCTCATCCAGAGAGCCAAAAGCCCGATGCCCGGCGGCATGACGCTTCGACCGTTCATCCACCAGACGGGCGAGCCAGCGCCGAGACAGGGGGCGCACGCTGCGATGGAAGGCCCGCAGGGTGACGGCAATCGGATGCTGCTGCGCGGAGATCCCTCCGCCAGGAATATTGGCCGGATCTGTGTCCTTGCTTGGCGCCCGGGCATAGATGGCCCCGATGACCTCGCGCCAGTAGGCGTAGCGGATCTCCGCCAGGCGAGGGTCCGTGGCGGCCGAGGAGATGTGGCTGGCCTCGAGACTGAGGCAGCGGATGGCCATCCAGGCAATCTGGGTCGACGCGGGGGCCGGGAAAAAGTGCGTCGCCAGGAAGGCTTCATAGTCCCCGGTTCGCAAGCTTTCCCTGAGATGATTGACGCCTCGCTGGAGGGTCTTTGGGTCATTCGTGGAGTCGAGTCCGGTCGACTCGGGGCCACCCGGGGGGGGGGAGGTGGACAGGTGCCGATTCGGGGAGCTCAAAAAAGTAGAGGCAGCTGTGGCCCGGGCCAACTGCAGGCCCACCGGGGTGAGGCCCTGGCCCACGGGGGAGAGGAGACGAAGCATGAACAAAGAGACGAGGATGGGGAACGCAAGCGGGGGGATGCAGAGGGAAAGGCGAAGGGCAGCGGCTGGGGGGGGGGGGGAATCTGTGCTTGTGAAGCCTGAAGACCATGCCTCAGCGTCACCCACAGGGCACATGGTCTTGAGGGGGAGTTTAAGAGGGATCAAGATGTCGAAGGCGATAACCGGCATCTGTGAGTCAGCAAGAGGGAGGGCGAGAGAGGAAAGGAGACAGAGCCGACAGAGGGAGGATCCTGCTCTCGGCCCCCTGCCCCCCTCCCCTCCCCCCCGCTGAGGATGGGCAGATTGAAGAAGAAAGGCGGGCCAGCTCGACACGTGATACGACATGACGAGTGTGTCCCGGCCCAGGGGGGGGAGGGACCTGCTGCCATCCCTCGCCGTGGCCCTCTCAACACGTTCGGGCGAAGGGGAGGAGGAAAGGAAGAGGAAGAGGCCCTCTCTGGCAGGCGTAAACTCTTTGGTGGTATATTTCGAGGGTACAAGGACACAAGCGTGCATTTAGGGGCGGGTGCGTGCGCGCATGACCGAGCTAGCTCGGTCCGGGGACATGTGCGCCCCCAAGCCTATCCTGCGTAAGTGTGCGGGAACAGGAGGGCAAAGTGAGAGGTCACACAGGGGAGGAAGGGTGCGCGCTGGGGGCCCGAGAGGGTGTCCTGCCATGCGTGCGCACATGCCGGTGCATGTGCAAACGTGTACACTTGTGCATGCATATAAATGTTTTGATGTATGGAAATACATGTAATGGGGGCGGGGGAGCAGCAAGAGGAAAAGGAGGGAGGCGGGGGGGGGGGGGGGAAGATTGTACAGAGATGCATGCGCATACATAAATCTAAGGCACACAGGCGCGAGCTTAGTCCTGGGCCTCGGTGAGCTTGTTCATGTTCGGCACGATGTGGGTGCGGAAGTAGTCCAGGGCCTTGCTCTGCACCTCAAGGTTGTGGCGGGCGGTCAGGACATGGATCATCTCGGCACGGAGGCGCACGCAGTCCAGAGCCTGGTTGTAGTAGCCGATGGCACGGCTGATGTCCTCAGGGTTGCCGGAGGTCGAGGAAGAGTAGTGCTGCGCGAGCAGGAGCATGGCCATGTCGTTGCGCGGGTCCAGCTCGAGGGCCTTCTCCAGGAGACCGACGACGGTGGCGCGGTCCTCGGCCGGGAAAGCACCAACATCAGGCTGGCCACCGTTGCTGTTGGCACTGGCGGTGATGAAGCGGCTGAAGATGAGGTTGGCCTCGGCGATGTAGAACAGCGGGAAGTCCTTGAAGCGCTTCTGGCCTGCGGAGGGAGAAGGCAGCGAGGAGGGTCAGCAATCATACGTCAGGTGTGGGACAGGAGAGAGGGGAGAGAGAGAGAGAGAAAGAGGGGGGGGGGGAGCAATGAGGCGACAGCAGCGCGGAATCCCAAATGCGTACCCTCCCGGAGGAACTTCTCAGCCTCATCGAAGCGCTGCATGTTGGCAAGGCTCTCCACGAAGTGGAAGACCAGGTCCGGAACGTGGGGGAACTTGGCCTGGACAGACTCGAACTGATTCTGCAGGGAGATGATCTCATCCATGCTGCTGGCCATAGCCTGCATGGCGGTGAAGCGCTGGAGGTAGGCCACGTAGGAGGCCTCGCCCTTGGCGATGATCATGTCGAAGTCCTCGAGAGCCTTGTCCAGGGAGTTGCGCAGGAGGTTCAGCTGGGCCGTGTGCAGGTAGAGATCCGAGTCGGTGGGATCCAGCTGCTTGCCCTTGTCCAGGTCGAGGAAGGCCACATCGTGGCCGTCGATCTCCGAGTTGATGGAGGCACGGCGGATGTAGGCGCTGGAGGTGGGCTCCAGCTCGATGGAGCGGTCGATGTCGGCCAGGGCCTCCGGGGCCAGGCCGGCCAGGAAGTAGAAGGTACCACGCAGGTTGTAGGCCTTGCCCAGGTGCTGGGTGTTGTTGGCGATGGCCAGGTGGATGGTGTCGAAGCTCTCATCATACTCGCCCTGGTGCAGCAGGTGGATGGCCGTGCGGAAGAGGTGGTCGCCATCGGTGGAGTCGGCCGAGGCGGGCTCCTCGCCGTCGGCAAGGGTGGGGTAGGTGGCGTAGATGTTGTTGTGGAAGCTGTCCAGGTAGTTGCGCACGGTGAAGTAGGAGGGGACCCGGGCCTTGCGAGAGGCGATGATGTCATCGACCTCGGAGGCGGCCATGCGCTGGCAGAGGGCCTCACACTGCTGGATGATGCTGTCCATGTTGGCGGGCTCCATGTGCGAGAGGATCAGGCAGTCGACGGCGGCCAGGTTGAACTTCTTCAGCTCGGTGTAGGCGGTCATGCGGCGACGCAGAGCGCGGATGTACAGAGGGCTGAGAGTGAGAGCTGGGTAGGTGGCAGCCAAGGGACGGAGTCGAAGGGAGGAGTTAGCCAGCGAGCCGGGGAGGGGGGGGGGGGGGGGCGGGGGGAGTCTACACACACGCATACACGCGAAGCAGAGTAGGGCGGAGGGATGATTGAGGGAGCGCACCCATGGAGGTATCAGCGACACACTGCTCCAGGTCACCGAGGTAGAAATGGGAGGTGCCACGGTTGTGGTAGAGGAAGGACAGGGTCTTCTCCGAGGCGTCGGGGGACTCGATGCCGGAGGTGTAGAAGGCAATGGCATCAGCATACTTGCCAGCCTTGAAGGCGGCGTTGCCCTTGACACGGAAGCCATCGGAGACGGTTTGCGAGCTGGCGCTGGCGTCGGTAGCCTTGGAGCTCTTGACCTGGTGGGGTGAATGAAAGTGGGGGCAAGGGTGTAAGCAAAGAGGGTGGGGGGGGGGGGAGGGCGGCCAGTTGGTTGGCTGGGGAGGGAAATGGCCGGTTGCGCGCACCTTGGCAACAAGCTCGTCGGTCTTGACACCGTTCTCAGTGGTGCGGGCTGCTCGGATGGGGGAGGGGGGGGGGG